TATAGCTAATTTGCAAACTTAAAATAAGACTAAAGTTTACAATTTATTCAAAGCATAAAATGAACTAGAATAAACTAGTTAATAAGAACAACAAGAAATTCAAGGGGTTGAATATCTTGCTGCCCAAGGATAGAATGCATAGCACCAATGCATGATGCTACGTCTTGAACCAAAGAAATGTCCATAACCAAGTTGTTAGGCTTGGCTACAACATTCCCCCTTCTTGAAAAGAGTTTGCCCTCAAACTCGGCAACTCTTCAAACTCATCATAGTAAAGCATCTCTTCCCATTGCTTGGGACGTTTAGTAGCCAAAGACCGCAGCAAGGATCCCAAAGTTCTATTAGTCACTTCGGTTGGACCATCCGTTTGAGGATGACTTGAAGTGCTAAAGTTCAATTTCGTGCCCATCTTCCTCCATAATGTAAGCCAAAAATGACTTAGAAATTTTGGATCACGATCACTCACCATGGATTTAGGTACACCATGTAAACGAACAATCTCATTGGAAAACAAGTTAGCAACAGGAGTAGCATCATAAGTTGCATAGGCTGGTTTGTTTGGGAGCATTGAACCGGGAACAAGATCAATTTTGTGTTGTGTGTCACGTTTTGGGGGTAAGCCAAGGGGAATGTCTTCGGGGAAAACATAGGAAAAGGTTTTGAGAAGAGGGGTGAGGAGTGGGTGTGGCTCTTCTTGTGACGGTTTGGAAGGGACATCAAGTTGGCTTAAAATGAATGGTTTGTGAGCTTTATACTCATGCAATTCTGATTTTATGAGAGTGGTAAGGTAAGTAGGGGGTGTGGATTTGGGGTGACCGTTTTTGAGGTTTAGGGGGGTAAGAAGTATTTTCTGTCCATCCTTAGTGAAGGAATATGTGTTTTTATACCCATCATGCATCACACGCCTATCAAATAACCAAGGTCTACCAAGTAAAATATGACATGCATTCATAGGTATAACATCACACCACAATTCTTCTTCATAAGTTTTACCAATGCTAAATGATAACAAGACTTGTTGTGTTACTTGAATCCCTTTACCATGATTTAACCATTGAATCGCATAAGGTTTAGGGTGAGGAACGGTTTTAAGTTTCAGCTTGTCTATCATTACTTGTGAAGCTACATTGGTACAACTACCTCCATCAATAATCAATGAACATACCTTTCCACCAATGGTGCAACGAGTGTGAAAGATTGACTCACGTTGCAAACTCCCTTCTTTGCCAACCATATTGCTTAGTGTGCGTCGAACCACCAAGCATTCTCCTGCGTCTGGTCCAAGACACGCATACTCATCATTCTCCTCAAGGTTGCTGTCCACTTCATTTTCTAATTCATCCTCCTCTTCATGCTCAATCAAAGTGACAATCCTTTTATTTGGACAATCACTAGCCAAATGTCCAAGGCCTTGACACCGAAAACATCTTCTTGGGGCTGGTTTTGGGTTGGAATTTTGGGTGTTTTGTGAAGGTGGTTTAGAAGTAGGCTGATTGGACGTTGGGTTTAAAGGTGGGAAATTGGATGTTTGCTTTGTTTGGGGAAATGAGGTTTGAGATGCAAAACGTGATGATTCACTTTTGCCTCTTGCTTTTTGTTGCTGCTCAATCTTATGTGCTAAGATAATGAGCTCTTCAAGGGTAGAGTAAGGATGTAGTTCGGCCACATTGGCTATTTTTTGGGTCAAGCCCTCCCAAAAAGCGCACCAATGTTTGAGGTTCATCTTCCTCTACTCCACATTTCATGACAAACCCTTCAAACTCCCTAGCATATTCTTCTACTGATTTTGTACCTTGTTTGAGGTTGTGGAACTTGGAAAAGTTTTCTTGCACATAGTATGTGGGAAGAAACTTTTGTTTCAGCAACTTCTTCATCTTGATCCACGATCTCACTTTCTCTTTGTCTTGCCTTTCCCTTTTGGCACACACGCTAGCCCACCAAGTTGAGGCATATTTTCTCAACTTCAAGGCTACAATTTTCACCTTCTTTTCTTCCGGTGTTTGCTTGTAATCAAACACTCTCTCCACCGTTCTAAGCCATTCTACAAACTCATCAGCATCGAGTTTGCCATCATACTCCGGAATGTCAGCCTTAATGTCATTGTTAGGCCGTGACCTTTCTCTTTCATGATAAGGTCTATCATTGTGATTGAAATTAGATTCACTCACTTCTTCATCACTTTGATTGGTAAAACCCTCTTTTTGATGGCGCAACTTAATAGAAAGGTCTCTTAACTGACCTTGCAAATATTGCATTCGTTGCTCCATATCTTCTTTCTCTTGTGCAACCTTATTGACATATTCTTGCCAATTAGGGGGTGGGATGTCGGCCATGGTTTGTGTTTGGGTATGTGTTTGGGGTATTGTGTTTGGGTATTTGTTTGCTAGACCCCCCTCCTTCTAGCGCCAAATGTTGTATATTTGGAGTAACACTCGAAATACACAAGGGATAAACCAAGGGATAGATAAGGCTAAAGAACCAAAAGCTTCTCAGATAAAGTCACACCACTAAGAAACGTTTTGGGTTCCTAAGATCACAAGCCAACTAGTAGCCTAAACTAGCTAACTAAGCAAAGGAAACGAAATTCCAAATCCAAGAATTTCAGGTTTTGTTTCTAATCCAAGAAACGAATGTTAGACAAGTCTTTTTTTTGTTTGCAATAATCTGATTTTTTCATTCACATTTGCTTGCTATTTATAGTGAACAAGCATCCTTAAGTACAAGCTAACTTAAGTGACTTTTCAGCTCAATCAAATGAAAGTCAAACTGATAACTTGCTATTTTATGCGGTTTTAGGGCGTATTTGAACCTAGTTTACCTGAACAAATTTGTGTTTTGGTTCACTTTTACCCTATTATTATGCAATTTTTGTGTATCCTATGCTTCACGGGTTGTTAGTGTTTTTGTTGAGATTTTAGGTCCAAAGACGACCAAATGAAGCCCATGGTTACCAAACCGAGGTTAGAAGCAAGGAAATGATGGAAAAATCCAAGTACATGAGCATCGTAGAAGAAAACACGAAGAAAAGGGCCCAGAAGACCCTGCACGGCCGTGCAAGATGTTGCACGTCCGTGCAGGAGTGCAGACCTGAACCCATCTTTCTGCCAAGGCCTGCACGGACGTGCCAAATATTGCACGTCCGTGCAGATGATGCAGCACGGACGTGCTTCCGTGATTATGAGGCAGCACGGACGTGCCAAATATTGCACGTCCGTGCAGATGATGCAGCACGGACGTGCCAAAGGTGCACGCCCGTGCTGCAGCAGGTCGTCTTAAACTGAGTTTCTGTCTTGGTCTGCACGGACGTGCCAACTTCAGCACGTCCGTGCAGACCTACAGTTTACCCGTTTCTTGTTTTCTCCGTCCTCTTATTTTAGGGGGTAGTATAAATAGCCCCTTTGGACCATTTTAGAGGGGTTCCCAATTTTTTTTTCCAGATTTTCATACTCCTCTTAGTTTGAAACACAAAAATCCTCAAATTAGCATAGATTTTAGTTCTTGTTTTGAAGGTTTTCAATCCAATCATTGTAGAAGACAAGTTCCACCATTGTTAGTCAATTATTGAAGTTTCTAGTAATTTTTCTTACTCTTTCTTTCTCTCTTCTATCTTTAATTCTTGCTTTTTATTAATTGTTTGGTTGTTCTTTGCATGTTTAATTGTTAGATTCTACTTAATTCTTAGTTTTAATTTGTTCATGAATTCCTTGAAATCTTTAATTGCTTTAACTTCCATGGATTGTGAGTAGTCTAATTTCTAGGGTTTGGGTGAACCCTCAATGTAATCACCAACACTTGTTGCATGTACTAATTTGTTAATTGTGGGGTGTTAATTAGTTGAGTTTAAGAGGTTTCATTGTTAATTCTTGTAATTGGCCATTGCTTGAATTATTTATCTAGCTTCCTCAACGAAGGATCGAGAGATGAACTTGAGGAAGCTCCCTTATGCTTGATTGACTTGATTTGCCATGAGAATAGGAATTTCTAGTCAAGGGAATTTGCATGTTATCGTGAGGATGTTTTAACACTTGTTTCTTGCCCATAATCACGAGAGTAGGTTATGGTTTTGATGTCAAGTAATCCCTCTAGCTTGAGAGAGTAGTTGGGTGCATTTGATAACTTCCCCTAATTTATCCCCTAAATCACCATTTCTATGCATGCTACTTGTGGTCCGTGATGAAGTTGAGTGGTGTAACCCATGCCCTAGGCCTTCTTAATATTGTTAATCACCTCTTAGAATTAATTGATTTGAATTAGAATAGTGTGACGTAATACCAACTTAAAACCCCCGACTTAATCTAGCTTGTTTAAACAATAACATTTGGTGGTTGATTCAACGCCTCTCATGGGTTCGACCCTTTCTTGCCCTTGCTACTAGTTTAGTAGGATCGAGTTAGGTCTTATTTCTTGATAGGTTGACGACGTCCTATCAAGTTTTGGCGCCGTTGCCGGGGAGGCAAAGTCACATTGAATAAGTTATTGTTGAATGAGTCTAGATTTGTGTATATGTATATAATCTTCTTATTTTGTTTTTGTTTAAGCGTGTTTACTTTGTAATAGTCATTGCTAACGTTTTCCTTAGCTTTGTTTGACTGTGCATGACACGGAGGAGTAAGCAATCACCGCTTATCCCCGTAGATCCGGAGTTAAATAGAACTTTGAGGAACGTAAGAAGGCTCCTACAAGGCACGCCGGATTTTTCTCTAGCTTATACGGATTCCGAGTCGGAGGATAATCTTGATAACGAGCAAGAGATGGCCAACCCACCGCCTCCTCCACTTCTACAAGACTATGACCACCCCGATGCATTCCAACTTCGGAGTGGCATACTTCTTCCCACCACCAATGCAAACAACTATGAGTTCTCTCCTCAACTCATAAGGATGATCCAAAGTGAACAGTTCGGGGGGAGTGCAAATGAGTGCCCTCTAGCTCATTTAGACAACTTCCTTGAGTTGTGCACTACCATCAAGCAAAACAACCTCACGGAGGAATTCATTTAGATGCATATGTTTCGGTTCTCTCTTAGGGACAAGGCTAAGTGTTGGTTGAGGTCCGTGAAAGAAGGATCCTTAACAACATGGGAAGAGGTTACCAAAGCATTTCTTGGGAAGTTTTGTCCGCCCGAAAAGACCGCGGAATTGAGAAGGAAGATTACAAGCTTCACTCAAGAGGATGATGAAACCTTAGGTGAAGCATGGGAAAGATTCAAGGATCTAAAGAGGAAGTGTCCACACCATGGGTTGCCTTTATGGATGATTATTCAAAGCTTCTACGACGGTCTCACTCCTACCTCAAGGGCCAATCTTGACAACGGAGCCGGTGGTAGTCTTAAAAAGCTACCGGTGGAAGAAGCCGAGAATATGATTGAAGAAGTTGCAAGGCATTACGCCTATAGATATGATAGAAGAGAAAGTCAATCGAAGAAGAAAGGTATGCATGAGTTGAGTGCAATAGATCTCATTGCCTCAAAGTTTGATATGCTAGCTCACAAGCTAGACCAAGCAACCTCCTCAAGCGGTACCTCCTCTTCACAACCACAACCACAAGTCATGTCTTGTGAGACTTATGGGGGTAATGATCACATGGCTTCATATTGCAATGCTACTAATGAGCAAGTTGCGGCCATGAACCAAAGAAATGAGCAACCTTTCAATCAAGGTTGGAGGCAACAAAACCAAGGGTGGAGACAACCCAATCAAAACCAACAATCCAACTACAACAACCCTCCTCAAAACATCTACAACCAAAATCAACAAAATCACCAAGCCCCATACCGCCATCCAAACCAACAAAGACAGCAATTCAACCAACAACCTCCTCCACCCCAAAAGACTTCCCTTGAGGCCGCTCTTGAGTCTTTCATAAATCAACAAGGGAAGAGCAATGCAGAAATGAGCTCCAACATCCAACAACTTCAAGCGCACAACAAAATAATTGAGAATCAACTAGCTCAAATTGCACAACAAGTTGGGAGTTCTACCTCCAATGCTAGTTGTCAATTTCCAAGCTCAACGGTTGTGAACCCGAAGGAGCATGTCAAGGCTATCACATTGAGGTCCGGGAGAGGGTATGAAGGTCCGGTAATGAGTGAAGATGTGCCACAAAAGAGAGATGAGGGTGTGGAGGTGAGAAGTGAGAATGATGTTGAAAATGAGGTGGTAGAAGTTGAGAGAAAAGAAAAAGAAAAGAGTGTTGAGGGAGACACAAAGAAAGGAGAGGGAGTTGAAGTTGAAGTGGAGAAACCCCCAATGAGAGTCTACAAGCCACCTATTCCTTTCCCTCATAGGTTGGTAGAGAAAAAATTGAATGAGAAGTTTTCAAAGTTCCTTGAGGTCATGAGAGGGCTCTAAGTGAACATTCCCTTTCTTCATGCTATGTCACAAATGCCTACATATGCGAAATTTTTAAAAGATCTCTTGTCCAACAAAAGTAGGCTTTAAGAGAGTGCAACCATCTCCCTTCCAATGGAGGTGAGCGCAATCATTCAAAACAAGCTTCCCCGAAAGCTTGGTGACCCGGGTAGCTATGCAATTCCGGTGAAGATTGGAGATATGGAAGCCATGGATGCTCTTTGTGATCTTGGGGCAAGTGTAAGCTTGATGCCCTTCTCAATTGCAAAAAATTTAAAAGTTGGTGAGATGAAGCCAACAAGAATCTCAATACAATTAGCCGATCGTTCGGTTAGATTACCAATGGGAATACTTGAAGATGTACCGGTACAAGTGGGAAGAGTTTTTGTACCTTGTGACTTTGTGGTGATGGAAATGGAGGAGGACAACAAGGTTCCTCTCATTTTGGGAAGGCCGTTCTTGAACACGGCGGGAGTGGTAATTGATATGAAATAAGGCAAGCTAACATTGAATGTGGGAGATGAGAAAATTTCTTTCTCATTCTCGCAAGCCATGAGGAAGCCTATGTATGAGGATATCAATAGAATCGATACTCTTGACCGAGAAGTGGAGGAATTGAAGATGATGAACAATAGCAAAGATACTCTACAAGCGATCCTCACGGAAAGTTTGTACAATGATGATGATGAAGCTAAGGGGTACAAGTTGTTGCTAGACCAACCCCTACATGGCAAGGCAAGGGAGTTTGAAGCACTTAAGGTGGAGGTAAAAGAGGAGAGGTCTACGCCTCCTCCTAAGGTTGAACTTAAACCCCTTCCCCCTTCACTTAAATACGTTTTTTCTTGATGATAATGAGACTTATCCCGTTATTGTCAATACCAACCTTGATGACACTTCCCTTGAGAAACTCCTAGTTGTGTTGAGGGAGTATAGGAGTGTCATTGGGTATGCCATTGATGACATTAAGGGGATAAGTCCCACGATATGCATGCACAAGATTTTGCTTGATAATGATCATGACTCCTCAATTGAGCACCAAAGAAGGCTCAACCCCAACATGAAAGAAGTTGTTAAAAAAGAGGTTTTGAAACTTCTTGAAGCGGGCATAATCTACCCTATCTCCGATAGCAAGTGGGTTAGCCCGGTTCAAGTTGTTCCAAAAAAAGGGGGCATGACCATTATCAAGAACGATAAGGGTGAGACCATTTCTACAAGGTCGGTCACCGGGTGGAGAATGTGCATAGACTATCGAAAATTGAACAAATCCACTCGGAAGGACCACTTCCCTCTCCCCTTTATCGATCAAATCTTGGAAAGGTTGGCATCACATAGTCACTATTGCTTCTTGGATGGGTATTCGGGATTCCTCCAAATCCCTATCCTACCCGAGGATCAAGAGAAGACTACATTCACATGCCCTTTTGGCACCTTTGCTTATCGAAGGATGCCATTTGGATTATGTAATGCACCTTCTACATTTCAAAGGTGTATGATGTCTATCTTTTCCGACATGCTTGAATCATCAATCGAGGTATTTATGGATGACTTTTCTGTTTGCGGTTCATCTTTTGACACTTGCTGTTGTATATTTGGAGTAACACTCGAAATACACAAGGGATAAGCCAAGGGATAGATAAGGCTAAAGAACCAAAGGCTTCTTAGATACAGTCACACCACTAAGAAACGTTTTGGATTCCTAAGATCACAAGCCAACTAGTAGCCTAAACTAGCTAACTAAGCAAAGGAAACGAAATTCCAAATCCAAGAATTTCAGGTTTTGTTTCTAATCCAAGAAACGAATGTAAGACAAGTCTTTTTTTTTTGTTTGCAATAATCTGATTTTTCATTCACATTTGCTTGCTATTTATAGTGAACAAGCATCCTTAAGTACAAGCTAACTTAAGTGACTTTTCAGCTCACTTGTTACACGCCTAAAGCTAAGTACAATTCAGCTTTTGTTGTCTAGATACATTAATAAAAGAAGCCTTACTTAACTAGATACATCAAGAGCAAATGGCGGTTTGTAACCTCCAAGTTATGAGTGAAATAAAATCAGAAACAAGAGAGTATAACACCCCCTTGATTCACGCCCACAAAGCAGCAGCTTGGAGATGAAACAGCTCCCCTTTTCACGCCCAATTCAAACAGCAAGTGAAGTGTAACTCCTCCTTGTTTCAAGCCTTGAATTAAGCTTGAATGTATGTGGTCAAGGATGTACTTGGACGCCTCTTGAATGTACCAGTTGCTGGCTGAAATAAACGGCCACTTGAAGACTCAAATGAAAGCTTGTAACTCCTCATTGATGCTGATTGTAACACCCAAGTTAAAGCTTTGAAATTCCTTGTAAAAGAATTTCGGATTCCAAGCTTAAATGGCTGCCATTTTGATGTATCTTTGCACTTGTACTTTTGTGTGAATGTGACAATATTTTTCGAACTAAAATCAGCTAAAAAGAACTAAGAAAAAATATAACTAATTTGCAAACTTAAAATGACTAAAGTTTACAATTTATTCAAAGCATAAAAAGAACTAGAATAAACTAGTTAATAAGAACAACAAGAAATTCAAGGGGTTGAATATCTTGCTGCCCAAGGATAGAATGCATAGCACCAAAACATGATGCTACATCTTGAACCAAAGAAATGTCCATAACCAAGTTGTTAGGCTTGGCTACAACATTCCCCCCTTCTTGAAAAGAGTTTGCCCTCAAACTCGGCAACTCTTCAAACTCATCATAGTAAGGTGATAAATCAGCCACATTAAAGGTGCTAGAAACACCATAGTCTCCGGGCAACTCAACTTTGTAAGCATTATCAGTCACCTTTTCAACAATAGCAAATGGACCATCACTACGAGGACTAACCTTGGACCGTCTTTTGGAAGGAAATCTTTCCTTTCGAAGATGAATCCAAACTAAGTCACCGGGCTGAAAACGGACCTCCTTTCTTTTCTTGTCATAGTATGCCTTAGTCTTTGCATTAGTTTGTTCAATTTTGGAACGAACTTGCTCATGCATAGACTTGATTTCTTTTGCGCGCACCTCGGCATCATTGCTGAACTTGTTTGGTGAGGGAATGGGAGTGAGATCAATAGGAGTGCACGGATTGAATCCATACACCACTTCAAAAGGACTCAAACCTGTTGTCTTGCTAGGCACACGATTGTAAGCAAACTCCGCATGAGGAAGCATCTCTTCCCATTGCTTGGGACGTTTAGTAGCCAAAGACCGCAGCAAGGATCCCAAAGTTCTATTAGTCACTTCGGTTTGACCATCTGTTTGAGGATGACTTGAAGTGCTAAAGTTCAATTTCGTGCCCATCTTCCTCCATAATGTAAGCCAAAAATGACTTAGAAATTTTGGATCACGATCACTCACCATGGATTTAGGTACACCATGTAAACGAACAATCTCATTGAAAAACAAGTTAGCAACATGAGTAGCATCATAAGTTGTATGACAAGCAATAAAATGGGCCATTTTAGAAAATCGGTCCACAACAACCATTATAGAATCTTTCTTTCGTTGGGTGATAGGAAGTCCCACAACGAAATCAAGACTAATATCTTCCCATGGTGCTTGTGGAATAGGTAAGGGCAAAAGATAGCCTTGAGGTAGACTATGACTCTTGGCCTTTTGACATATCACGCATCTTTTCACAATGAACTCCACATCACGGACCAACCTAGGCCAATGAAAGTATTCTTGGATAAGAAGAGTAGTCTTCTCTATGCCAAAGTGTCCCGCCATTCCTCCTTCATGAAACTCTTTGATAAGAGATTCTCTTAGGCTTGATCTTGGAATGCACAACCTGTTTCCTTTGAACAAATAGCCATCTAAAATGTAATAATCTTTGTAAGCATGATTAGAACATTTTAAAAACAAATCACCAAAGTCATGATCATTGTGGTAACTTGCTTTTACATCATCAACACTAATCACCCTTGCTTTGAAAGAATTCAAGAGTGTATATCTCCTTGAAAGCGCATCAGCTCCTTTGTTCATGGCGCCTCTCCTATGCTTGATCACGAAATGAAAAGCTTGCAAATACTCCACCCATTTGGCATGGCGAGGTTGGAGTTTTTGTTGGCTTTGAAGATATTTGAGGGCTTCATGATCCGAATGAAGGATGAACTCCTTGGAAATGAGGTAATGTCTCCAATGGTCCAAAGCACGAACAAGAGCAAAGAACTCCTTATCATAGGTGCTATACTTCCGTTGTGCTTCATTGAGTTTTTCACTAAAGTAGGCAAGGGGACGCCCAACTTGTGACAAAACAGCACCAATACCAACTCCACTAGCATCGCACTCAACTTCAAAAACTTCATCAAAGTTAGGCAAAGCAAGAATAGGTGCACTAGTAAGTTGATGTTTTACCTCATCAAAGGCCTTTTGAGCCTTATCATTCCAAACTAACTTCTGATTTTTAGTTAGTTCCGTGATAGGTGCCATGAGAGTGCTAAAGTTCCGTACAAATCTTCTATAGAAAGAAGCAAGTCCATGAAAGCTTCGAACTTGTTGGACGGTTTGTGGTGTAGGCCACTCACGAATTGCAGCAACTTTCTTTTCATCAACTTCAATGCCTTGTGATGAAACTTTAAAGCCAAGAAAAATAACTTGGGAAGTGAAGAAATGACACTTCTCTAAGTTACCATACAACTTTTCACGTTCAAGGGCTTCAAAAACCTGTTGCAAATGCATAGAATGCTCTTCTTCCTCCCTACTATACACCAAGATATCATCAAAATAAACTACAACAAATTTACCCATGAAAGGTTGCATAACCTGATTCATAAGGCGCATAAATGTGGATGGTGCATTAGACAAACCAAATGGCATCACAAGCCATTCATAGAGGCCCTCCTTTGTCTTGAAAGCGGTTTTCCATTCATCTCCTTCGAAAATTCGAATTTGATGATAGCCACTTCTCAAATCAATTTTAGAGAACACTTTAGAACCATGCAAATCATCAAGTAAATCATTCAACCTTGGAATAGGAAACCGGTACTTGATAGTGATTTTATTGATTGACCTACTATCAACACACATTCTCCATTCTCCATTCTTCTTAGGCACAATCAAAGTAGGACAAGCACATGGACTAAGAGACTTACGAATAAGACCCTTGGATAGTAATTCTTCCACTTGCCTCCTAATCTCTTCGGTTTCTTTTGGGGTGGTTCTATAGGCTGGTTTGTTTGGGAGCATTGATCCGGGAACAAGATCAATTTTGTGTTGTATGTCACGTTTTGGGGGTAAGCCATGGGGAATGTCTTCGGGGAAAACATGGGAAAAGGTTTTGAGAAGAGGGGTGAGGAGTGGGTGTGGCTCTTCTTGTGACGGTTTGGAAGGGACATCAAGTTGGCTTAAAATGAATGGTTTGTGAGCTTTATACTCATGCAATTCTGATTTTATGAGAGTGGTAAGGTAAGTAGGGGGTGTGGATATGGGGTGATCGTTTTTGAGGTTTAGGGGGGTAAGAAGTATTTTCCGTCCA